GATCAGCAGGCAGCAGGAAGTGAATGTCACACTAGACTTGCTTGAGCATTGAGACCTCAAAGCCCGCCCCTAGTGACACATTTCCTCTAACAAAGTCACACCTACTCCAACAATGCCATACCTCTTAATAGTACCACTCCCTATGAGTCTATGGGGGCCATTTTCTTTCAAACCACCATACATAGATAGTCATAGGTTCTAGGAATAAAGACATGGGTATTTAGGGGATTACCATTCAACACACCACAGTGAACTAGTTAATAGGCATTTCCAACTGAAATATTTAACTTTATGAATCCTATTTACTCGCCAGGATCATGTTGTTTCTGCTTAAATTTCCCCCTATGGCATTCATCACCATTTCACACACATTACAGACTAGATTATATATGTATATATGTGCATCATGTGTGTGCTTGGTGGCTGTGGAAGCCAGAAGAGAGTATCAGATCCCATGAAACTGGAGTTACAGATGGTTGTGAGCTGCCATGCGGGTGCTGGGAATCGAACCTGGGTCACTACAAGAGCAACAAGTACTCTTAACCGCTGAGCCACCTCTCCATTCTCAATGGCAACATCTTTGATAGTCTGGGTCCCTAAGAGGAGAGTCTGTGTGAAGTAGAGCCTTCACTCCATTCCCACCACCAGAGCAAGACATGTCATGCAATCATTAAATCAGCTTTTGTTGCAGTAAGGTGCTGAAGTTGGAATGGGGATGTAGCTCAGTCAATAGCGTGCTTGCCTAGAATGCGCAGAGTCCCGAGTTTGATACCAAGCACCAAATAAACCAGGCAAGACAGTGCATGCCTGTAATCCTAGCACTCAAGGGGTAGAGGCAGGGCAATGAAGAATATAGTATCATCCTCAGCTACATAGCAAGTTCGAGGCTTGTAGCTTGAACGAAGGCCAGTATGAACTAGTGAGACACTTTCTCAGAAAAGAAGCTATCCATTGGCCAAATGAGAGATAATAGATCCCAGGATAGACTCAGCTAACTCTACTACAAAAGTGTAAAAGTTCCACCTTTGATTTCATTGTGAAGATTAAAAAAAAGAAATAAGACGATTTAAAACAAACTCTGGATTGTCTGTTATCAGAACAGAATTAGTCTATTGTGATTAATGCAGCTTGCACTACTAAAAATTGGATGCCCTTGCAAAACACAACCCAAAATACATGCTGCTGACTTTGCAGATGGCCATTGGCAAGGAAACTGATATCTGAGGCTAGAAAGGTTATGATTCATGTGTCATATGGCAACCCAGCATTTAGCAAAACTGTCACTCATGTAACTTAGGAAGTAGATTGTTGTGTGAGTGAGACAAAAGCTCAAGGGAAAAATAGGATGTTAGAGGGTTTGCTTTGTGGTATTTGTCATGTTTGGCTTGGTATTAGAAGAAATAAGCCCAGGGAAGAATTTCCCAATTTGAAAGCAGAAATGAAAGGAAGTGGAGATGTGTAAGGATTGACTCTTTGCAGGACTGAAAAAGCCAATTGCTTCTATACCCCAAATAGTAAAATTTAAGTCTGAAAGCAATTTTAAGGCAGATGCCAATAAAATCTCTCAGCAGATTATATTACCTAAGGGCAGGGATCAAATTAAGGATATATTGCACAGTAAATCTTTTTCAATTCTATGAAATTACTCATGGCAGATATTAAGGGCAAAATTTGTCTGCAGAAGTATGGTAGCCTGGAGAAAGAAACTGTGAGAGTGAAAATGCAAAGAAAACCTGCCAGATAGGAGAAATTTGTCTCAGAAAGAACTATGAGCCTTCTCTTTTACTTCTCTTCCTTCCCCTTCCTGGAGAAAGTGATCTTATGCCCTGAGGTAGATAGAAGAAGGGGGACCTCTGTGCCTGGTACAAGAGTTGGGGAGCCTCAGTGTCCCCAGAGGAGAGAGATGGAACCTGAGTTCAGTCAAGAGGGCTTCTGCATTAGACAACTACATCCTACATCCTTCTACCTACGTCCAAGCTGAAACGTGGGGAGGAGGTGGCCCAGTGGAAGGATGCTGAGGAATCCCTGGGAAAGTGATGTTAGAACCAGAGGAGGGTGAGGAGAGACTCCTCCTGAGTGGATGAGCTGGTGGGTTGTCAGAGAAGATACCCATGGAAAGTCAGAGCCCGTGTGTACTGAGGAGAGCAGCTGTGGGGAAGTGGGACAGGACCTGGGCACAGGGTGACAAAGGCTGGGAAGGACGGAGAAGTGAACCGTGTACATGATACCTTATCGTAGAGCCTAGTAGATGGACAGCAGCGGTGACAGCAACCAGGCAGGTGAGAAAGGGGTCTTACAGTGGTGGGTCATGAGTATCAGGAGCAGAGCATCCACAACACCAGTGCAGACTGGCTGGGAGTTTGATTAAAAATATCGAGGAGAGGGACTGGGAAGAGGGCACAGTTGGTAAACTGGTTGCCTTGTAAGCATGAGGACCTGAATTCAGTCTCTCAGAAACAAAAGACAGGCATGGTAGAGTACACCTGCAATCCTAGAGATAGGAAGATGGAGGCAAGCAGATCCACAGGGCTTCCAGGCCAGCCGGCCTAGCCTAATCAGCAACTCCCTGGCCTGTGAGAGACTCTGTCTGAAAAAAAAAAAAAATCAGGGTGTTTATGGTTCCTGGGGAACAATACCTGAGACTGACTTCTGGCCTCCACATGCATGCTCACTCATGCGTACCTGCACACAGATGGGCTACACAACACACACACACACACACACACACACACACACACACACACACACACACACACTAGTGAGTAGGGTGTTCGTGTAAGGAAGGAACAGCAGCAATGGATGGTGATGAAAAAAGCTCTGTGGTGCATCTATGTGAACTTAGGAATATACATACACTCTTTGTATTTGCACATATGAGCTCCCTATCCATGCACACATATGTACACACTCATACTGCCCTGAGAGAAAGCCTAGGGACAACAGTATTCAAATAGTATGGACATGCCAGGTGCCTAGATCATAGCCCCTAAATACATACTACTAAAGCTCCATTACATGTGTGTGCTTTAGTCTGTGGAAACTAGAGGTCCACCTCAGGTATTATTCTTGGGCTTTTGTTTTTTGTGAGTTTCTTTGGTGTGTGTGTATGTGTCTGTTTTTAAATTTTTATTATTTTATTTTATGTGTATGGGTGTTGTGCACTACTTCTGTGCCTGGTGCTCCTAGAGGCCAGAAGAGGATGTCAGATCACTGTCAGCACTGGAATTACAAATTGTGAGCTGCTGGGAGCTACTAAGAATCGAACCCTGGTCCTTTGGAAGAGCAGCCAGTGCTCTTAACTGCTGAGCCATCTCTCCAGCCCGTTTGTTTTAATTAAAGGTTCTAGGCATCAAATTCAGATCTCCCTGCTCTCACAGCAAGCACTTTACTGACAGAAACATCTCTCCAGCCCTATTGCCTACTTTTCATATCTAATTTTAGAGTTGTCCCTTTCCATAAAATCTAGAGGTCACAAAATTGACATTCTTAATTCATGCTTACAAGATGTGAAGAACTCCGCACAGGACTGCGCAAAAAATAAATAAATAAATAATAAAAGCATGGCTTACATGGAACTGCATAATTAAAATTTAAATACATTCTTAAACCTTATTTAATTTAATGTACATAGAATAAATCTATAAATAATTATGGCACAGTAATTTTATTATTCTGCTTTAAATTCTTATGAATATTTATTTGTAGAGAAAGGGTAACTTCCTAAAGTTATCTACCTACACAATTTCTCTTCATTTTATGAAAACTGCTCATTTGTACTCATTTATTTAGCTATTTTGAACTTTTAAATTATTGTATGCATCAAGTGAACAGCTTTCATAATAATTACTGTTCCATTTTATAATTACAATAATAAATATTCCTTTGCATTTTTAATGGGCTGAGAGTTTTCCTATAGAAGTGTGTATGAAGCAGCGAGGTCTGGAAGCACATGCTTTTAATCCTAGCACTCAGGCTGAGGCAGAAAGACGGTGAGTGGGAGGCAGCTTGTGCTCCATAGTGAGTTCCCAGAGCACCTGGACTGGACTGTGAGCCTCTGTCTCAAAAGCAAAACCAAACAACCCCAGCAAAACCAACGAAATGCGCAGATGCAAAGGGACCCAGGGACAAATAGGGAAGCAGAATCCACAGACAAAAGTGGGGAGAGGCAACCCTTTTCCTAGTTTCGATAAACAAGCTTTATGCTTGCTAAATAGAAAGTTTGCCTAAGCTATTTGCTCATACAGCAGATTTTGAAAACTAATGGGAAAGAGATGAAGGGTCACCATCACCACCGAGACTCTTCTTACGTCTCTTACTTATTGATTTCTTCTGCCTCAATCAAGATATGTGACCTACCTGAGCCTCATCCACAAAAGCAGGCAATATTGTCTACATTAATAAATGTAAAAAGTGCATGGAGATCTTGTAAATTCTTAAGGTCTGAACAGAACAAACTGATTAATTGATTTACAATACTCTTCTTGGTTAACTTCTTCATTACAATACCTCACTCTATTTTGATCATTCTCTCATCCCTCCAATTTGTTTGAAACTATTTTGACCACAATTACACATGATATTATAACAGCAAATACTAACAGTTCTAGTTACAATCTTTGTTTCCCCATCAGTACATTGAAATTGGCAGTTAAGAAAGGGCAGGGCTGAGTTTCTTCATGTAAAGTAACATGGTACACATGATACAATTTGAGGACCTACAATTTGAGGACCCTCTAGGTGCCCTTCCCCCACTCTCAGAAATCAGACCCCACCCCACCCTTGCTTCCCATTTGATGAACTAGGCTTGCTAAGAGCTTGTAGCTCTCAGAGTTGAGTCTTCCCCTTCCCTCTTCTGGCTTCAGTCCAGCCTCCAGATCCAAGGCAGCCTTGAATGACCACAGATAGATCACATGGTATAGAACTGTCCTCTCCCCATTGGAAACCTAGAAGAGCTGTTTCCCCAGGACGGAATGGAACTGAGAATCTTTCTCTCCCTTCAGGACACAATCACAGTTGCCTACAGCTGTGCTGTTATAATTCTCCTAATAAATCATGGGACCAACAGGCAAGATGTCTGTGTTCGGGATTCACTCCACTGTAACACCAAGATTGTGGAATGAGGCCTTTCTACCACGGTAATCCTGTCTCAACAGCATCTGTATGATGATTCCCCGTAGACAAAAGCACCCTTCTGGGAGTGTGGAAGGCCAGGCAAGAGTTCTAGGACACTGTGGGAGCAAAGAATCTGGGATCAAACACACTAAAGAAGCTAGAGGTGGCTTTACTTCACCTGCCACCTTTTCCCCAGACAGCACAGCCAGTTGAACAATATTTAACTACCCCAGTGGTGTAGGTCCAAGAGGTCCACTTCTTCCTCTCCCCACATTGTCTACTGTAATGGAACAAGTATTTGAGACAGGCTGAGAGCAGGGGAGAAGGTTCACTGAGCTGGGAATCCACTTCTGTTGCCACGATGCATGATGTTCCCCAGATAATAGATAATTTCTATCTCGGTAAAAGGTGGTTTTGAGTTTCTGAGTTTCACAATTAAGTCTATTTTTTTTCTCATCTAGAGAATGAAAATAAGGGTAGAAAAATGCTTCCTGGACTGTTTAGCATTGAGACAAGGACCACTCACAGAGTGTTCAGCAGAATGACTTCCCCTCTCTAACAACCCAAGGGTTGAGGTCTGGGCTCATCCAAGGCTTTCCCTACAGCCCTTATTTGTGGAGAAGAAACATAGCTCTTTTTCAAACTCTGGAGCACACTTGACCGAGCCAGTAACAGCGTGGGGCCAGGACCTTGGGAGCTTTTCTCTGAGGCCCTGATGGAGATGGAACACAGCTGCTTCTCAAAACCAGGTATATGCTTGGCCAAGCCAGTAGTGGCCTGGTGCCAGGGTCTTGGAGCTGTGACTTCAGATTCTGAACCTAACCCTTCCCACCTTGTGGGGCTGTGGTTATCTATCCCATGGCCACTATGTGCTCAGTCTGTACTGCTCTTGAGATACTTGTGTTTCCTCTGTGCAACATTGTTACATTAGCTTCTCACTGTCATTGTCATTGTGTGATAGTTTCTGTTGACCTCATCCCCTTTCTCCCCTGGAAATAGAATATAAGATGCTGTACTTCTTAGTAAGCTTCCTTGGCATAAGCTACAGTTTGTGCGAGACCTCCTGATCCCAAACTTATCTGTTTCCTTATCTTTGATCTCCTGGTCCTTTCTTTCAGGACCCTGTTACTGAAGAACGACCGGCTGCTGGTCCAGGTTGCCTAGGAATGTTGCCTATAATATTTGTAAGTTGTATTTTAAACCAACCTTAATGCTTTATTAAGACTATTTTAACCTTTGCTACAGAAATGTGTTGCAATGTTTCTTGTTCAGCTAATTCTTTTATTGTTAATATCAGTTAGTATCCCAACGACATCCCTACCTCACCCTCTATGAAGGGGATTTAAAGCATTAGTCAATATTGAGAAAGATAGGCCTGAGCAGCAGATGATTCCAGTGGAGAAGGGATTCGGGTATTACTGATATCAGTAGAGATGAGTTTAGGGCATTAGCTGATATTAGTACTGAAAGAACTGGTTTAAAAGGAAAACAGAGTGCTAAAATTCTAGGGCAAAGATCGAAATTGGACTATTGTCAGAACATCGAAAATAAGAGAAATCCAATTGTATAAAGGAAGAAACAAGTTTTACAATGTGTGTATGTGTGTGTGTGTTCTAGGAAGGAGTGCAAAAGTCAGAGAAATCAATACCTTGTAAATTGCTAGCACTCAGAGGTTGGCAGGTTATCACTTCCAGAGAAAGGACGCAGTAAGCAGGTTTTAGAAGCCTTCTGTCCAGCAGCACCACAAACCGGCCAATGGCGCCCCTGTAGGAATGCTCAGCTACAGTTTCAGTAGTCAGAAACAGTGTTTCTTACAGAGGCTTTGGAAAGGGTGCTCTGCCTAATTTCCTCTTCTAGAATCTCTCCCCATAAATGCCTGCTACGTGTTTTTCCGTTGTGTTGGGCAAAGTATTTGCCATTGTACGTAAGAATGACAATGAAAATGAGGATGATAGCAATGAGGACAGTGATGAGGACAATAATAAGGATGATGATGGTGGTGATGATAATGGAGGAGCTAATGATGCTGGTGACGAGAATGAAAATGATGATGGTGGTTATGGTGAAGATGATGATAATGATCATCACTATAATTACTGACATTCTGAATATCTACTGATCCCCAAGTATCAACCCAAGATAGGTGCAATTGATACTTCATTTCAGTCCTGTGTTACTGCTATGAAGTGGATACCACCTGAGCCTCAATACTTTGCCACCGAGGAGCCCATGCTCAGAGAGATGGCATGATCTGCCCACATTCTCATAGCTACTAAGTAGGTATGGGATATGTGAACTTGACTTGTGTGAGAGGACAAAATATTCATCGTAAGATAAGAGAAACTTTTCTGTAAAAAAACATTGGGAGATGAAAACAATTACTGAGGTGTGGATTTGAGAAGAACACAATAGGAAAGAATAAAAAGATAAACCTTTTTGCTCTTGGAAATGAAGATCAGATTTGGAGCACTTTCATAGAGAACATGCTGAAAAAAAAAAAACCTTACCCTGCATTCAGAAATACTAAGCAAAGGTCTCTAAGCACAAGAAGAGAGAGGTGTTCAGTGCCTACTAGCAACACGCTAGTAGAGGCAGGTGTTTATTTGTCAGAGAGGCCACCAAAGTTGCTGAATCAACTGGATCACAAGCATGCAAATAACACAGGACAGATATAACAGACTCTCTAATCAAAGTAGAGGTTATGAACTCTTTTTTTTTTTTTTTTTGGTTTTTCAAGACAGGGTTTCTCTGTGTAGCTTTGTGCCTTTCCTGGAATTCACTTGGTAGCCCAGGCTGGCCTTGAACTCACAGAGATCCGCCTGGCTCTGCCTCCCGAGTGCTGGGATTAAAGGCGTGCGCCACCACCGCCCGGCTAAGGTTATGAACTCTTATTACCACCCACTAGTAGCTATAGCTTTGAAGGTGAACAATATAAAAACTGGAATTTTTAATACATAAACAGTGTATGGGAAAGTGAATCATTAACCATACACCCAGTGTTGGCAAAACATCTCCAGTTCTCTGAGTCATGACCAATGACATTACCAGAACAAGAAAGGAATGGTCGTGTATTGTTTAATAACAAAACCCAGAGAAGCAGAAAACCTATGCCCCCTAAAATGTCAACCATTGAATACCTTGGTGAAGATTAACAGAGGTTTCAGTTTCCACAGTCACTTGAGGCAGGATTGGCCCATTCCTTATTTCTTTGCAAGCATTTATTAAAAATAGACTAGGAAAATTAAAATAGAATAGACACATACTTACATAAAACAAATACATAACCAAGAAACACCTGACATTATGGAAATTCATTACAAAAAAAGGCAGTCCTGAACTCAACCAATGGTTTAGAAAAGAATTAAGAGAGAAAACAGAGGAATAGTGCTCAGATAAGAAATGAGTGAAGTATGTGGGCAGTGCCGGCTATAAAGGTCTAACTGGTCGGGTAGTGGTGGCACACGCCTTTAATCCCAGCACTTGGGAGGCAGAGCCAGGTGGATCTCTGTGAGTTTGAGGCCAGCCTGGGCTACACAGTGAGATCCAGGAAAGGGACAAAGCTACACAGAGAAACTCTGTCTCGGAAAAACAAAACAACAACAACAAAAAAAAGGTCTAACTGATAGGCTGCGTGGCGAATGAATGAAACCATGGCAAGCTAAGAATTTCTTGAGAGTGCAAAAAGACAGTTAACAGAAAAAAGGGAATTGATCTAGCTACTTTGAAATCTATCCAATGGGAGAATCATAAAAAACAAAACGAAGATGTTACTCTTAAGTTTGCTGTTGTTATTTTTAATACACTTAATTCACTTTTCTTGTATAAAAACCCTTATATGATGGCCACAGCTAGAGCCTGGGTCCTCTGAACAGAGAAACCCGTGTGGATTTTTACAAGATGGTCAGTGAATTCCTGATAAGGAAACTTGGTAAACACAGTCTCTTTCCAGAGGTTGGCGGTCAGGTTGCTGTAGGTCTTAGAGATGGCATCAAAGGTGGCCTTGGCAAAGTTGCCCAGGGTGACAGTGCAGCCCCTGGCTGATGTGTAGGGGTCATCAATACCGACCATAAGCAGCAGCTTCTTGGGCACAGGAGCAGAGCCGATGCCAGTGCCTCCCTCTGGGGACAGGGATGAGACGCACCAACACAGAGCCACAGCGGCCTGTCACTTTGCATGGAACAGTGTGGGACTTGCCAATCTTGTTCCCTCAGGGACAATGGAAAGCTTAGCCAAGATGATGGCCCCTCGGATGGCAGTGGCTACCCCTTTGGATCACTTAACACCAAGACCAATGTGACCATTGGAGTCCTTAGTAGCAACAAAAGCCTTGAACCTGGTCTGCTGGCCAGCCGGAGTCTGCTTATGCACAGGCATGATCTTTAGAATCTCATCCTTTAGGGATGGGCCCAGGAAAAAAATCGATACTCTCTGATCCCTTAATGGGCAGGAAGAGCAGGTAGCGCTGCTCCAGGGACTTGATCTTCATGTCCTTAACCAGGTGGCCCAGCTTAGTGATGAGAATCCACTCCTGGTTCTCAGTTTTACCTCCACGAGTCCTATGGCCTCGATTACCGCTGGCCTCAATCATGTCCACGGCCCCTAAAACCGCTGCGGAATCATCCGCAGAAGCTGCCCCAGCCTTCCAATCCTGGGCCACCGGGTCCTCCGGTCCCTCCGGTCCCTCCCACTGCACCAGCGTCATCCACTATTTGGTGTTTTCCCAAAGAAGTACTCCTAGGTTTTGAAGAGAATATTTGCATGATTCTGGTACAGTGAATCCTGGTTGGGATAAAAGATTGTGATGAGTCAAAATGAACATGCCCTGGGAGTTAGCCAGCTTCCTGTTGCTGTGACAGAACACTCGAGGTAAGCAGCTTATAAGGAGGGAAGTCATATTTTGGCTCACAGTTTCCGAGGTTTGGGCCTGTGCTTAGTTGACCCATTAGCAGGCTTGGAGAGCAGTACACAGTTGGGAGTGTGTGCTGGGAGAAGCTGCTGGCCTCATAGAAGCTGGGGGCAGCACCCTTCTCTCTCCTACGCCTCCTCCAAGAGCACACACCCAGTAACCTAACCTCAGTTCACTAAGCCAGCCTCTTACTACCCACCAGTAGTGTCAGAAGCCTTCAGCACAGGGACTTTTGGGAGATAGTTAATATCCAAATCGTGGAACTTCAGTACTTGAAAATAAAATCAAAGCACATCGGTGTGTGGATCAGATTTCCAAGGCAGCACCTTCAGAGGTGAGGTTTGCAGACAGGTTTATTGAGAGTTTCTCCTGGAATCGACATGTGTCAGAAAGCAGGGGAAGGAGGATTGGGCAGGAGGAGAGGCTGGTAGTGAAGGACTGCATAGTGGCCCTTCAAAGATGGAATCACCATTTAACAAAATCCTAAACATACAAAACTATGGTATTACAAAGCCTATTTTTATCACAAGGCCCAGGAACTGATTGCCAGCAAAATGAGGAAATACTGATTATGGGAGTTGTCTCACAAGGAGATTATTGGTAATGCATTTGTCAACATGCATTTAATTATGTAATTTCAAAGTTATTGTTATATATGAATTGTATCTAAAATAAAATTTGCATGAAAGAGGAACTCTGAAAAATAATAGCAGGAAAAACATTGACGTATCAGTTGTTTCAGAGAATAGAGTGACCACATTTTGATGTGTCTGCCATAGGCCCATCTATCTTTCCACATGCTGTTGAAGTAAGTGATACAAAGAGACTCCATGTATCCCTTAACCAGTTGTGGTGATATATTTTACACACAGGATCTGGACAGTGAGGCAACATATCAATCTTAACTCCCTATTTGTCCAATTTTACTTGTACATGTTTATATGTGTGCACACATGCGTGTTTTCAGCTTCATATAATTTTATGTGTGATTGTTTGCATATCTACCAAAAATAATCTCTTGTCTATTCTCCATTTTAATAATTTTAGCATCTCAGAGGAGTGTTACATAGATAAAACTATATTATGTGTAAGTTTTTAGATTATCTGTTTGTTTGTTTGTTTTTTCTGATCTGCATGATTCTATGGAGATTTCCCCGAATTTCTTTGTAGTGGAAAGATGGATCAATGAAGCTCATTGGCCAGCCAGTCTAGCCAAATCAATGAGCTTTTGTTTCAATGAGACAGTCTGTCTCAAAACTTATAGGTGGAGAGTGATCAAGGCAAGATACTAGACAGCAACATCCGGCTTCTATATGTACACACACATGTTCATATACCCAAACTAACAAGTACATACAACACACACACACACACACACACACACACACACACACACACACACACACACACACACACACACACGGGTGCACACAAAAGTAAAGAGAAAAGAAAACAGCAGACCCCGAACCTTTTCTCCAGTTTCCACTAGCAGTGTACAAAGCAATCCTCTCCAGAAGCCCTCTCTCCCCCGCCCCTCCCTCCCGGTCTTCCTTTTTCTCAAGCTTCCCTTCATCAGTTTCAGCTGTTCTGCGTGCAGAGGCGTGTCAGCGCTGTCTTAACTTCCGCTTCCCCATCGGCTAGTTGAGCATCAGTCCTTGTGGTTCTCTACTAACCGCACATGCATACTTCACCCATATCTATCCATAGCTCCAGGAATTTTTTAAGAGGATTGCTTGTTTTTATTTCTCTTCTTTTGATTTTAGAAACAGGAAATAGTGATCTATTCCCCAGGAAAGAAAGATGTTCAGTGGAGGCAGAGGGACTCAGATATCGAAATGAGTAGACTTCAAATTGTTCCAAATTACATAAAGAAAAATATATGCTTCTAGTACATAAAATAGAAAACACCAGCACAGAAATAGAAAGTGAGTTTCAAATAGAAAACTTAGAGCTTAGTTTCTTTAAAAAATAAAAAGGCTACTGGACACAGGTGCCATTGAGATGACTCAGCAGGGAAAGGTCTGCCACCAAGCCAGACCGCCTGAGTTCAAGCCCTAGAGCCTACATGGCGAAAGGGGCAAACTGATTCCTGCAAGTTGTCCTCTGACTGCTACACACGTGCCGTGGTTTGCACACACACACACACACACACACACACACACACACACACACTAAATGTCTTACTTTGTTTTGTTCTTTATATAACAGTTTTATTATAAAGGTATTAGTAATTTTTAATATATTCTAATTAAAGTATAATTACATGATTTCTACCCTGCTCTCTCCTCTCTCCAGAGCCTCCCCTGTCCCCTCTCTTCAATCTATTCAATGTGTCCTCCATTCTCAAATTTATAGCCTCTTTTTCTTTGATTATTATTGTTACATATATTTGGGACCCTGTCTCAAAAAACAAACATGGAGAGTGATGAAGAAAAGAGAGGCACATAGTATATAAATTCAGCTTGCTGGTTCTGTTTCTGCTCTGTGTGTGTGTGTGTGTGTGTGTGTGTGTTTGTGTATGGTTTAGGGCTGACCACTTTGTACTGGAAAGCCAGTCAGAAGGCTCATCCCTAGGAGAAGCTAATTCTCCTTCTCTCAGCAGTCATTAGTTGCCTACAGTTCTTTTTCTAGGAGTGAGACCCCGCGAGATTTTCCCCTTCCGCATTAATATGTCTGTCGATACCGCCATTCTTCTGGTCTTTGTTTATACACATATTTCTAGGAGAGACTGTTTGACAGCAGACTTCCTGGTCCTCTGGTTCTTATAATCTTTCTGCTTCCTCTTTCTCTGTGTTCCCTGAGCCATAGATTTGGGAGCTGTGGTGTGGATGTCTCTACTTGGGTTGGGCTCCACAAGATATGTTGATTTCTGCATTGTGTTCAGATGTGGTTCCCTGCCCAGGTCTCCATTTGCTCTAAAGAGAAGCTTTCCAGATGTGATAGCTACAGTTGTCTGTGGGTATAAGGATGAAATTCAGAATTTAGTTGGGTCTTGTGCTGGTCTAGCAAAGTGATAGCAGTAGGTTCTCTTCTAAGATCCATGCCCTTGCTAGCCTCAAAAAACTGGCTAGGTTTCTAATGCCAGGCATAATTTTCCTCCTGTTCAGTGGGCCTCAAGGGCAATGATAGAATAAAGATAATGGAGACTTTTTAACTTGAATATAAACTGATAGAAATTAATAAAACTGGTAAAAAGAGCTCCAGAAGAGGAGTAGAAAGAAGAAAGGAAAAATCATAAAAAGCAAGCTTACTGAGATGGCTCAGTGGTTAAGAGCATGTAGTCTCTTGCAGAGGACCACACTTCAGTTCCTAACACCCACATCAGACAACTTCAGCTCCAAAGGACCCGACACTCCCCTCTGGCTTCCATGGGCACCCCATGGCGCATGTACTAACCCCCACACAGACAGGTGTGCATGCAGATGTTAAAAATAAATAAATAACGTAAATATCCTAGACATATAGAAAGTCCTACATGAAAAGATTTTGGAGATTTTACAGAGACTTGGAGAGGATATACTTAAAGTAAACTTCTTGTGCGTATGATAGTGCCTGCTGAAAATGAGAAGGTGTTGGAAGCAGTCAGAAAAGATAAAGGATGTAGCAAGTGAGCAATGATTCAAATGCCAACCGACTTCTTTAAACATGGGAGCTGGAAAATAGAATAGCAAGCAGTATCTGAGGATCTTTCAAAAATGTTCTTTTTAAAAAAAATCTATTTCTTCTAAGAGGTATCTGTGAATACAATTCTATACACAGCAAAAACGTCTGTCAGTGGAGGTAAAGCATTTAAAGATAAAAGCGGCTAGGGATTTGCTGTCAGTGGACCTACCTTGCAAGAAACACTAGGTTGTAATTTTTATTGTTAGTTTCTTTCTAATCTGATCTTGAGGTCTCTCTGTCCAGAGTGACCATAAGCCAAGATATGGACTCATTTGGAGAGCCTGTTGGGGCAGGAAGAAGTGCCTGTGAGTATCAGGTAGGACCCAAGGAGGGCTTGAATGAAGAATTCATGCAACTGACTTACTCGCAGGTCACAGAGAGGGTCTGGGTGCTGGCAGGAGACTTCCAGAAAGCACAGAAGCAACAGGAAGCTCCATCAGACAATGGGACATGATGCGGGTGGGGAGGGTGGGGTTGGGTGGGAGGGAGCATGTGGAATAATGGCTTTAAGGTCCAAACAGTGTTATCTTTTGGGTTTCCTGCTAAGGGTGTGAGTTTGTTGCTTTAAATAAAACATTTGTGATTGGAGAACCTATTAACATGACCATGATGTTGAGGTTTGTTTCATAATGGTCAACAGCTGTGTGGTGTGCTTGGTTTGGGATTATCGAGATAATGAACAAATAGGGAAATCATATCCCTGCTGAATGAAGGTGGTGGGATGTGAGTCAGGCTTTCAACATCTTATGCCAGGTCTGAAAATGGATCCTGGGGTGATGCACTGTGACACACTTGTTAGAAAGCTCTCTATATGATTATAAAGCATGCTAAAGTTTGAAAATCATGGCTACCAATGATACCAATAGTATCATATTACCCAATTAAAGTAGGTGACTTTTTTGCTACCCATTCTAACTCTAAATTCTGTGATTGAATGACTGCCTTGAATGCAATAAGGAAGTCTAGCTGTCTGAGTTGGATCTCAAATATAGTTAGTGCATACAATATACTTCTGTGAACCATGGGTTCAAGAAGTGTGCTGCTCCATTAAAATACAATAAAACAGCAGAGAGCAGAAGAGACATCACACTCCCAGCTTCTCCATGACATCTAGCACTGTCATGGCACCCTGAGGGCTGTCAGCTTTCAGAGCACCAGGAAGGAAGGATTTCAGAAGACAATATTACACAAAGGATACAATAAAGCCATGGAAGCCACAGCAGTACTCCTCCAAATTGCTCTGCAAACCATTGCTTGTCAGTAATCATTAACCAAAACACCAGGGTGGGGGAGGCAGAGGGACATACGGAAACAGCTGCACGCACAGGCACCCACTGGGGACAATCACAAGCAAATTTTGTTTAAGATCAGGTGCAATGCTAGATGGACAGTTCCTGACTAACACACTCAAGGTTCCTTAAGATATGGGTTTTGTTGTTGTTGTTGTTGTTGTTTATTTGATTTTAGAGAGAGAACATAAAATTAGGTGGGCAGGGAGGTGGGGAGGATCTAGGAGAAACTGGAGGAGGAGAAAGCATGATCAAAATATAGCATAAAAGAATTGTATGTGATAACACACACATACACACACACACACACACACACACACATTTATTTATTTATTTATTTATTTGCTTACTTATAATATTTAGCTTTTTCCAACTTTCTCCACAACATCTTTTTCAAGTACATAGCAGGCCTTATTCCAGTAACTGGATATAATATCTCAAGCATCTATTTTAACAGCTTTATTGAATTATAATTTATATATACAAATCTGTCCATACTTGATACATACAAGTGGATGAATTGGGGCATAAGTCGACACTATGAATGACCCATCACCACATACTTATTATAAGTATACCCCTTACCTCCAGAGATTTCCTCACGCGAGGGGATTGTTCTTCAGAATATCCCACATCCTGGGTTTTTCTTATTCCTTTATCATAGTGTTATGTAATGTTTTCCTTTACCTTCTAAACTTCCAGTAAAACAGAAATTAAATCTGAAAGCTGTCAGATTCCAGTTCGAATTTTTGGATAAATGTACTTCACTCCAGAAGACACACGTTAGCAAGATGGACCCATTTCAGAGATGCCAAGTGGATCTATCAATAGGTGGCAGCAGCCTGACTTCCCTGTTATGTAGATACCCTCTCCTCTCATGGCTAGGAAGTAATCTGTTGTTAAAAGCACCCTGTGAAACTCATAATTACTTTAGCATCTAGTAATGATGATTACGTTGGGTTGACAAGCTTGAGTTAAGGAGTTAAGACATATACTGTGCTTTTTCTCATTCTTTCCATGTTTGTTGAGTGCAACATTGCTGTTCGAAGAGTTGACCTCCATTAGCAAAGTTTCCTCTTCCCAAGAAGCAATTAAAGAGAAAAAAGAAGGTGGTTGGTCACAGTGGTAATGTTTACAGCCACATACATGTCTCTGTCAGTCAGGTTCCTAGCACAGAACCTTAGGCTAGGTGATTCACATGAGTCTAGAGGCTAAGCACTCCAGAGTCCAAGTCAGGTTGATGCCTGCTGAAAGCCTTCTTTCTGACTCATATATGGCCATCCTCTCTAGGTCCTCACATGAACTTAAACCTGAAGGCTATAAGACTCTTCTTCAACATTTTGGATGAAGGTGCACAGTAACAAGATGGAGCTGGGGACCACTCCTTTCATAAGGATACAGATTCCCTTCCTGAACCCTGATGTCATGACCAACCATGTCCCAAAAGGCAACACATCATAATACTGTCACCTTCAGATTATGGTTCAACTTGCCAAGCTTGGAGGGACACAAACATTCAGACCATAAAAGGTCAATACTAGCCGTCTGCAATGATAAATAAGGGAGTGACGGTGGTAACGGCTGCTGCTGCTGCTGCTGCTGCTCAGTGGCTTTTAGGAGTCTCAATTTTAAGGGAGTCCACTAGTTCTTAACCCATCATCTCCCTTTCTAAAAGAGGATTAAGCGTTGTGTATAAAGGCACCCACAGCCTACTGAAAGCCTGAAAACAATCAGGACAGAGGTAAACTAAGTGCTGCCTTGCAGGGAGAAAAGAAGTGTTTATGATATTATGGGCAGGGAAGGTGGCAAAGGCTGCAATAACTGTCAACTAGACACTGCAGGAACGGGGAGAGAATAAGGAAATCAAAAGCAAGCATCAAACAGCCTCGGGACCATTTTTACAATGTGCACACAACTTAGGAGAGGGGTGTATGCTGGGTTTTGACACTTAGAACTGTTCCATAACTCTTAAAGAAAAGGAAGAAAAAACAAACTGAGGGGAGGAATGGAGGAAAGGAGGATGAAGAAAACAGAGGAGGACGAAGGGAGGAAGAAAGGAAGGAAGGAGGGAAGGAAGGAAGGAAGGAAGGAGGGAAGGAAGGAAGGAAGGAGGGAAGGAAGGAAGGAAGGAAGGAGGGAAGGAAGGAAGGAGGGAAGGAGGGAAGGAAGGAGGGAAGGAAGGAAGGAAGGAGGGAAGGAGGGAAGGAAGGAAGGAAGGAAGGAAGGAAGGAGGGAGGGAGGGAGGGAAGGAAGGAAGGAAGGAAGGAAGGAAGGAGGGAGGGAGGGAAGGAAGGAAGGAAGGAAGGAAGGAAGGAAGGAAGGAAGGAGGGAAGGAAGGAAGGAAGGAGGGAAGGAAGGAGGGAAGGAAGGAAGGAGGAAAGGAAGGAAGGAGGGAAGGAAGGAAGGAAGGAGGGAAGGAAGGAAGGAGGGAAGGAAGGAAGGAGGGAAGGAAGGAAGGAAGGAGGGAGGGAAGGAAGGAAGGAAGGAGGGAAGGAAGGAAGGAGGGAAGGAAGGAAGGAAGGAAGGAAGGAGGGAGGGAAGGAAGGAAGGAAGGAGGGAAGGAAGGAAGGAGGGAAGGAAGGAAGGAAGGAAGGAAGGAAGGAGGGAGGGAAGGAAGGAAGGAAGGAGGAAAGGAAGGAAGGAGGGAAGGAAGGAAGGAAGGAGGGAAGGAAGGAAGGAGGAAAGGAAGGAAGGAGGGAAGGAAGGAGGGAAGGAAGGAAGGAGGGAAGGAAGGAAGGAGGGAAGGAAGGAAGGAAGGAGGGAGGGAAGGAAGGAAGGAAGGAGGGAAGGAAGGAAGGAGGGAAGGAAGGAAGGAAGGAAGGAAGGAGGGAAGGAAGGAAGGAAGGAAGGAGGGAAGGAAGGAAGGAAGGAGGAAAGGAAGGAAGGAGGGAAGGAAGGAAGGAAGGAAGGAGGAAAGGAAGGCAAGCTAAATCCATTGATTTTATGAAATGGCAGTCTTTGCCTTCATTTGTATTTTTTATTATTTCTTTAAAAAAGGATTATTCTGCTTCTAGTGAAAGTTTATATTCTCCAACATTTTGCTAATAGAAAAAGCAATTCTCCTGTGTGGCCCGTTCCCTCCAGGCATAATGTGGCTAGAACTATCCTCACGGGGCATGTGTGGTTACATCCATGAGACCTTCACAAGATCAGTCCTGTGGATGTTCTCTCAGAAGGGGGAGACAGGGAGAGTCATTAGACCCTCACCAGAGATCCCAACCACTCCCTCCCTCCCGCAGCCTCCCCCAACTCAGGAGGTGTTTGAATATATAGCAAGTAAAGGTTAACTGAAGGGGATTGCATTTATGTAGCTTTCAGGAGACTATTACCATTGTGGAGTGGGAGTTTTTGACAATGCAGCTTTTGGGGGGCCACATAGGCTCCTGGAACCCTTCATCGGGCTCCTGTAAGTAACCCCTCATCCAGGATCCCTTAAGTAAATCTAGTAAACTCATTGGCTCACCAAACTCAACTTGGGTGGAACCGTTTGTTTGCTGTGTCATTGGTGCCCTATCTGGAGTGAACGAACGTTTGTTCCTGCCCCAGGAAAAGCACCACAATATCTCTCCAAGCCAAAAACCACAGTCAATCAACATTGGGTGGATGAGGGTGGCAGTTGCTCATTGCTGTGGACTAACTCAAAACCAATAAAACAGCAAAATGAAGCCAAACTGAACCCTTGTTATTTGACTGTAAAAAGCAAAGCTTAATTGCAGGGTTTGATGTCAAACAGTCCATCATAAAGCTGACACCAGTAAAACGCTTATCGAAGTGTCAGAATAAGCTAGTGTTTAAGGGTGGCGTGAAGGCTGGCAGTTCTGTGAGAGTGCTTGTTCTCACCTCAGTCACCAGAGAAAAGCAAAGGCTGAAGGGCCATCACTACTCCACACTACCATCTCCAGAAGGAGCCAAACTGACCCCAATCATCACACATACACTGAGCACTCAATTCCATTCTATTACCTCTCATTCATCTTACGGAAGATACAGAAATCTAAGCATGAGATTCAGTTACACGGATGAGCACTGGCTGAACATGGCTACGAGGCAGAGAACACTCCAGGGGCAGATCATGGGCATTTAGAATCTTCATTTCTCGCTATAATTCAGGTTCAGTTCGATTTCACTTCAGTCTTTGCTCCCTCAATCTGATGAGCCCCAAAGTGCAGAAGAATAAAAGTGTTCACCTCATCCCGAGTACGATAGTGGACCAGAGGCTAATCTAGCCCGAACAGAGAGCCTTAGGTTCGGTGAGAGAACAGAGAATGAAAAATGAAGTCAGTCTTTGCCTCTGCATGTGCACATAACACACACATTAACATAAACATATATACACACATTCACATACACACATACATGTATACACACACACACACACACACTGAGCTACCCTGGGGATGTAATATAAGATCAGGGAATGACCACAGGCCAGGGAGCCTCAGTTGGTTCCGCCACAGTCCTTGGGTGAGAAAAGGCCTAGACCAGCAGTTGTGAAAGCAGAAAGACTAGATGGCCCCAAAAGACACACAGTAGGAGACTCTGCTCAAGCTGGGAAGTGCCCAGGGGAAGAGACTTGGGGCAGGCCTCATCATCCAAGAATCACTTAGCTTTTGATAGCTCTGACCCTGAGACAAACAGGTAGATTAACATGTGGAGCCATCTGTCCATCTTTTGTGAAGGTCCAGGGATGTACGTGAAACACACAGAGGCCGGCACCCTTCCAACAGGATGATTGACGCTCAGAAGGTCTTGAAAGTGCAGACACCTGGGCGGACCCAGTGCCGCTGTGGCTTCCCACATTCCTGACACACGTAGGGGATATCGAAGCTAAAACATGAACCACCCCAGGGTATCTAATCCGGGGAGTCTGAAGAGAGTGTGCCCAGTTCCTAAAGGGTAAAGTGTGGCAGGAGAGACCCCTGCATCGCAAAGGGAAACTTCTAAAGAAGAGAGCGCTCTGACAGACATCAGTGTCCAGTGCAGACTCAGTGACAGCATGAACCGTGGGGCGAACAAGTGCCCACAAGTTCACTGTACGTCTCCAACTTTCAAGGACTCAGAAGCAGCTCCAGCATCTGCCCTGTGTCCTTCACTGTTACTCTGACCTTCTTTATGACACTTTAAGCAGTATTTTCATGTTTTTGTACTTTGTAATTTCTGTGTTTTTCTTGGTTAGTCTTCTTTATGCACTCATCTAACTATGATACACATTTTTTTCATTATTGGGTAATACTGTTGTCCCCACCCCCGCCGCCTTGGCTTGTCTTTGCCTCCCTCATTTCCTCCCTCTCCTTCCTTTACAAAGAGTAGTGTTTTGACTTTACCTTATTTTTTTAAATATTTGTGGTTTCCTTTTTTATCCTCTTCCTTTTGTTTATCTGAGTTTGTATTTGAACTTTTTTCGTGATTGGAAAGGCCTTGTATTCTAACATTCTGCTCTTTCGTTTTCCTCCCCACAGCCTTCTCCCCCACTCTTCTTTTCTCTCCTTCCTTTATTTAAACCCCCTTCTGCTCTGTGTCTCCCCTTCCACTATCCAGCACGTCATCTGGTGCATTTATGATTTCCACACTGGCCCGAAATAATGTAACTCCAGAGTACCTTCTGCAGCGGCTTCGCCGTTTGGGTTCCACGGTCACTGGCAATGTGTTCGTGATCTGTGAATGATGTTGAGTGTATTGATGGCATGGTTACTGTGGTAGGAGTTTGTTTTCTCCTCAAACAGCATTGAGAATTAAGCCTTCTGGGTTGCTCAATAAGACACACAAACACACACACACACACACACACACACACACACACACACACACACACACACACACACACAGTTGGAAGAGATGGCCAAACCAGCAGATCATAACCCAGACACATAAGAAACATGACAATGAGGGGCTATAGAAAATTTCTCCACGAGGAGGTCACTACTCAAATACTGAACTGATAGATGCCAAAATAGGTAAAACACCAGATGGAGATTTTTAAAGTTTTCTAGTAAAAATCCTCAGTGGTCTCAAACAGCATACAAATAAGTGGATGGATTCAACCCAGGCCCAAGAAGAAAGTCATTACCATAAAGAAAAAAGTCAGCAAAATAGATGAGACAACCAGCAATATTGATGAAAAAGTCAGCAATGAAAGAAAAAGTCAGAAATGAAATTGAGATTTTTTTTTGGACAGAAAAATAGAAATGCTGATATGAAAAAAGCCAAATGAATTTTTAAAAACCACTTAAATTGTCACCAAAAAAATTGACCAAGCAGAAGAAAGAATATCTGGGATAGAGAAAACGACTGATGGAATACTAAATTTGAACATCAAAAAGGAAAAAAAAAGAGCAAGATTGCAATTTCCAGGAATTCTGGGATACAATCAAGAGACCAAGCCTAAGAATCCATGAGATAGAAGAAAGGGGCTATATGTACACACGCACGCACGCACGCACGCACACACGCACACACAGTAAGTACTAAAGGCATAGAGAGAATCTGTTCAATAAAACTATAACAGAAAAAGTCCAAAATGTAGGAAAAGACAAACACAAGAGACATTTAGAGATCCAAATGAGCCTCACCAGAAAAGAGCTTCCCTGTGACACAATAAAGATGTCAAAACACAAAGCTGTGAAACAACATTAAACACTGAAGGAGGAGAACCGTCAACCTACCTGCATGGGCAAAACCTTCAGGATTGCATCAGCTCACCCATCGATAACCTAAAAACCAGGAAAGCATATCTCAGTTGCTGAAATAAAAAAAAAAAAAAAGAAAGAAAATAGCTATGAACCAAGATAGTTGCATTCAGTAGGGTTACCTTTTGAATTTGCTGGGAACACAAGGACATTCAAGACAAGCACAAAATTATGTAGTCAGATGTTGTTTGGTACTATGGCTATTTTTCCACATTAATCCTGCCAATTCATAAGCTTGGGAGGGCTTTCAATCTTCTAGTGTTTTCTTTAATTCTTCCTTCAGCATCTTAAAGTTTCCACTGTGAAAATCTTTTGCCTTCTTGGTTAGATTTATTCCAAGGTATTACTTTTGCTCTTGTGAATGGGATTCCCCGCAACACACCAATTTCTTTCTCAGCAAGTTTATTTTTGGCATATAGAAAAGGGGAAGCTTGTGTTAAGCAAAAATAAGCCAGAATCAGAATCACAAGTGCATTCTGTTTTTCTCCCAAATAAAGAACTATATTTTAAAATTGTATGTGTGTCTATTTACTTATTATCTGAGGTCATGGAATGAGAAAGGAGGTCATGGAAGAGAAAGAACTTTTAAGTGTGGGAAAAGGGAGTATAATGGAGTACATAATAAGAAAGCAGAAGTTTCAGGAGTATCTTGGGGAAGTTGGAGAGTAAGCCAGAGGTGGCAGTGGGTCCTGGGACAGCAATGAGAAGAAAAAACAAATGAGAATGGTGTGTGTGTGTGTGTGTGTGTGTGTGTGTGTGTGTGTGTGTGTGTGTAAATGCCATAATGAATCTGTTACTGTGTATGCTTGTCTTGGTTACTTTTCTGTTGCCAATGCAAAACACCATGACCAAGGCAGCTTATAAAAGAAAGTGTTTAACTTGGAGGCTTATAGTTCCAGAGGACAGTGACTCCATGATCATCATGGTGGAGAGCATGGCAGCAGGCAGGCTGGCATGGCACTGGAGCAGTAGCTGAGCACTTACAACTCCTCCACAGGTGTAGCAGGAATCTTAAAAGTTCTTATTAATAAAATCAAACCTGGAGCCAAGTATTGGGGTGAATGCTGGAAGATCAGAGAAGCAGAACAAGCCACAGCTTCCTCACGTTGTCAATTCCTCAGCTGATCCTGTTTCCTCAGACTGGAAACCTCTGAGTCCTCAACCAAATGGCTCTCAGCTGAACTGCTGCTTGAAAGCCTGAATGCTTAACCAGCCAAATGCTTAACCAGCTCTAGTTCCTGGTCCACACCCTATATACCTTTCTGCTTTCTGACATCACTTCCTGGGATTAAAGGCTCACTTTCTGGGATTAAAGGCGTGTGTCACCATGCTTGGCTGTATCCTTGTGGCCTTGAACTCACAGAGAGCCAGACAAATTTCTGCCTCTGGAAAGCTAGGATTAAAGGCGTGTGCTACCACTGCCTATCCTCTATGTTTAATACTGTGGCTGTTCTATTTATTCTTTGACCCCAGATAAGTTATTAGTGTGCACAATATTTCGGGGAACACAATACCACCACACACAGGCATGAGGCCGATATCGAGAAAGTTGAGTGGGAATGGCCTGGGCTTTTGAAGCCTCAAAGCCCACCCCCAGTGATACACCTCCTCTAGTAAGGCCACACCTCCTAATCCTTCACAAACAGTTCCATTAACTTAGAACCAAATATTCAAATATATGAGCCTATGGGGGCATGTTCTGAGGTATTTGTACACAGTGTGAAGATATATTGCTCTGATTGGTTTAATAAAGAGCTGAATGGTCAATAGTTAGGCAGGAGGTATGGCAGACATAGAGAGAGTGGGACATACAGAATGAAAGAAAGGTAAAAAGACACAGGGTGAAACACAGATAACAGAAAAGGGTTCATTTCAGTTATAAGAGCTAGTTAGGAACAAGCCTCAGTTATAGCCCCAGCTTTCATAATTAATAAGAAGTCTCCGTGTCATTATTTGTGAGCTGACTGGAGGGACAGAAAACGATTTATAACAGGAGCATTAACACCCAAACCACCACAACGTTAATCTATAACTTTAACTAACTAAAGAATAGAAGTAGTTCACTGTGCTGCATCTGATATGTTAGAGCTAGGCATCCTTAAATGTAGAATGATACTCTTACGTTGTTGTAAGATTTCTTTTCTTGAAATGATTAGATTAATAGATAGCATTAAAATGTGACATACGCTAGACATCAATGAGTCCTTGATATTAATGTAGACTTTTGTGATAAAGACAATGATAGCTTGTATTACAGAGTGCTTGTCTTTTGCCAGCTTATTTGACTAGATAGTTTAACTTTATCCTAAGAGGCAGGTACTATCCATTCTTCAGATGATGTAGAAGTTACAAAATTTGCCAGCACAAGCTGAGCTGTGGTACCTCATGCCTTTAATCCCAGCACTTCGGAGGCAGAGGCAAGTGGATCTCTGTGAGTTTGAGGTCAACTTGGTCTATAGAGTGAGTTCCAGGACAGCCAGAGCTGTTACACAGAGAAATCCTGTCTCAAAAAAACCAAAAGAAAAAAAAGTTACAAAATTGCTCAAGGATATGAAACTGTTAAGAGACAAAGCTGGGATTCATCCCATGATGTTCAGAGCCCAATCTCTTAGCACTAGGATGCTCATGGTTGTATTAATTTATTGACTGATGTATCTGATATCCATTTATCCATCCGGCCATTACTTACCAAATGGCTCTGATAGTCAAAACAATTGAGCCAGGTATTTTACCAATTAAAGGAAAAAAATCACATTTATTTACGTGTGTGTGTGTGTGTGTGTGTGTGTGTGTGTGTGTGTGTGTGTGTGTGTGTGTATTAGTCAGAGAACAACTTCGGGAAATCACTTCATTCCTTCTACCATGTGAGTTCTGAGGAATCAAACTGAGGTTCCTAGGCTTAGTGGCAGGCACATGCAACCACTGAACTATCTCACTGGCTTCCAGCCAGGATTTTTATACACAGAGAAAAACAACCATAAAATGTATTCCTGAAAGTGTATCTAATGAACATGTTCTCTGTGGACAAGCTTTATCTTCAGATCAACCTATCCAGTTCCATCTTCTCCCAATTTTGTCTTGCTTGTAAGTCCCTAGCCAACTTGCTCAGATCTGAAATTATTCCTGAGATCAAATGCTTCTGTTGACCCCACTCTCCACCACAGATCCAGGAGAAAGTCTACAGAAAACACCTGCAGTCCTGATTAATGCAACATGTTTAATTAATTAAAGTAAGAAAAAATTTTAAGATAAAGTTTCCTCCACACAGACTGGTATGGTGCCAGGGCAGAGAAAGCAGGAAAGTGCCCTCCAGGGCCTATATTAAAAACTTATACCTAGGTTTATTGTCTCCAACCCTTTGTGCCTCAAAGGCATGTGACATTGTCTTTAGAGTTACAAATGAGAAAACAAATTTATGACAGTCAAGTGACTGGTGGACCTCAAACTCATTGAGCAGCAAAGACTGAATTTCAGTTGAGGAAGGCTTAACCAGTTGATGATAATACCATTCCCCCCCACACACCATCCCAGATGCCTCAAAACTATTAGCTGGGACAATGGTGTGCAGGAGCCGGCCACAGCATCAGATCTGATCACATGCATGACTTCCTGAGTCCACAATCAGGATTTCATCTTGAAGTCAGCCGTAAAGAGAGTTTCCACAGAAATTGGCAGAGGACAAAAATGGGGCTTTGATGTCTTCAAAGTTGGCTGTGGGACATTAACCTGGGAGATGGAGGGTGGTTATATAAGTGGGGTTTGGGGTAACTCTGGAGTTGATCTTCATGGTAAAGCCAAAACGAGTTAGAGAAGAGTCATCCTCCTAAAAAAGGAGAACCATCCTGGTAGCACCCACACTCACCGGCCTCAAAGAGTTCTGAACCAACAGTCAGAAATGGTGCCTATGAGGGGGCAGCGGGTAAATCTTTTGGAACTTACCAGTAATATTCTTTGCTTTGTTTCATTTTTATGAAATTTAAAAAGTGATTCTAAATTTATTTTTGTCTCTGTCTTTTTAAGAACATGCTAACAGCCTAGATCTGGCCAGTAGCCAGTAGTTACCTGACTTCCAGTGTCAATGAGCACCAAGAGATGAAGAACAGCAACAAAAGAAGCTGTTGAGTCCACATTTTATTAGTGAAGGCATTCTGCTGATTAGTTGGTAGAACACTTCAATCTAATGGTTTAAAGTATGTGAGATGGTTAATTTTGATGGTCATCTTGATTGGATTAAAATACTCAGGGTATTAGTGAAAGTGGGCTTTGGGTGTGTGGTAAGAATGTTTTCAGGCTCTGCAAGATGACTCGGTAGATAAAGGTACTTACTGCCAAACATGAAGACCTGACTTTAGTCCTCAGAATCCATGTAGTGGAAGGAGAGAACCAACTCCAGCAAATAGTCCCATGAGTTCACACAAACACCATATCACACATACCCCTACTCCCACACATAGACACGAAAGAATATTTTAAATAAATAATTAAAAAAGTTTTTAAGGCAATGTTTTCAGAGATTAATGGAGAGGGGAAGAATTCATCCTGACTTCAAGTGTCTCCAGTGGCGAGGGCCAGGACTGAACAGGAAAGATACCTGGACACTGGCATTCTTTGTTCTCTTCTTTCTGTCAAATCTGTCAAAATGTGAGCAAGGAGTCACCTATGGCCACAGACAGAAGCTGGTCCTCCTGCTTCCGGGTCCTCATGCCTCCCTGCCATGATGGACTACATCCCTTGAATTATGAGGCAAAATCAACATTCCCCCCATGTGGTTGCTTCTTGTCAGGTGTTTGGTCAAACAATAGGAAGAGTAAGTAACACACACACTATGGAATATTGAAACACCATCAGCATATGCCTTAGGGCACATAATCAAGAGGCAGTAGCCTGACACCAAACTGCCTTCAGATTGGGCAGGCCTTTTTGACCACAGAGATTTTGCATGGCCCAGCAGGGAACACATCTTGCGGGCAGAGCTGAACTTCGGGTGCAGTCAGAAAGGCACCACATTGTCCTTACCTTGATTTCTCTGCATACTTCCAGCAAATATTTGCAAAGTGGTACAGAAGTCTCTTTTCCCAGATCTCCCCTTGCAAAGAGGACATGATAGGTCTTATTCCTAAGGTCTGGCTAATTACAACAGAGATGAGTTAAGGTTCAGAATACACATCCACATACAGCCTTCATCATGTCTCCTCTCTTCCTCGGGTAGCTTTTTCTATGAAATGTAGTAGAAAGGATATGAAGACCAGGTTTAGATCCAATTATCAAAAGTAAAGATGGGATGGCAAGTAATAAGACTGTTGATAAAGCTTGGATTTTGAACTCTCTGTCTTGACTGGCACTTCTAATGCCCTTTCTGGGGCATCAGATGGTGAGGACTCACTCAAATGGGGGCTTAAGATGAGTACCAGGGGGCAGATGGGTGGGGTAAGTGTGCCTGTATAAGTTAACTGTTTGACCTGAAGTTAAGAAGAAAGAAAATTCTTTAGATGTTGATTTCTAAATTGCTCCCATTGCAAGTGCCAGGATGTATGAGTTAGAAGAGTGGTAAGTACAGATTCCCATGCACCATCCAGAAAAACTCATTCAGTTGGTCAGAAGTTTGGTCTAGGTGTGTCTATATATCTTAACATCTTCTTGACCAATTAAGCATACATACTCAGAAAGACAAATATCACATTTTTCTGTAGAATTGTGTGTGTGAGAGAGAGAGAGAGACAGAGACAGAGACAAAGACAGAGAGACAGAGAGAGAGATAGAGAGAGA